CGTGCTAATATTTACCCCGGCCGTGTTAACACTGAACAGAAAGGTTCCCGTTTCACATTTTGGAGCAGCCTCGCTCTGTGAATCCAAACAGTTCTGCTTGTATTCAAAGCAGATGATGAACGGACCAAGTGCATGAATAGGTGCAGTGTTATGAGCAACCTTTCACACCACAATATCCCTCACCACACTCACACTGACAAGCAGGGGGAAGGTGGAGGCGGCTGAGGTGTTGGACAGCGTTCAGTAATGCATCGCACCATGCTCCTCCTTCACCAGGCTGCAGGTCTCCACCACTTGTTTAGTTTCTGTCCAGCCTGCCTTCCCAGAATTGTTTTATTCTTCCATTTTGTGGAGACTCTCTGAGTGATGCCTCTCCAGAGAGCCGTGCTCCACGCTGAGCCGTCAGTCTTTCCTTCAGGTCTCCCCAGCGCAGGAGGTCTGGGGTCCAGCTGCTCAGAGAATGGAAACCTCCTCTCTCTCTGAGCCAGCAGCCAGGGCTCCTCCTGTCCAGAGAGTGTTTGGACAGGAGAACCCAAAGGTCGGGGAAGTGACCTTTGTTACCACGCAAGTACTGGACAGACCAGCTGGGAACATGATGTAAAATGACCAACACTATTCTCCCTCAAAGTCTGATGTGGAGTCTGCTGATAGGGTAGAAATGCCCTACTGTAAACAAATGAAAGATAAAAACTAACAATGTATTGATACAACGTGCTTTATTGGAGGCACTATAAATATTTTAAATGTGATTTATTTTGATGAACTCTCATGTGAGCGCTTTGAAGTAAGTTTGAGAAAATAATGTCTTAACCAGTTACTTTGAACCGAACTAACTTTCTATTTTGTATTTTTATTAATATTTTTATGTATATTCAACAAAAAACTTTTCATAGACCTTTCATAGAAATATTCATAGAAATAAATGGACTCAAATCCTATTCAAAGAGGTCCAGTGTAGTGAAATAGTGTGCATGGATTTGGAGTCACTTGGTCACATGACATGGAAGCTCTTGACATTTTCTTATAGTTATGTGAAATCATTGTTACATCCAGTCAAAGATAGTGAGCCACATGTGACAAATGTGTTATATTTTTTCACTAATATGATCAGGTTAGCATTGGTCATTCAAACAGTAATTTATTTCCACTGCTGGCACTTGAGTGAATGTCTGTCAAACATCTAACCTAAAACTAACTTCACTGCGGTCATCTTTTACTAGTTCGTTTCACTCATCAGCTGTGGAGCTCAGAGGCAGCTTGAAGGTACTGAATCTATGCAGTTGTTCAGGGAGACGCTGCAGCGCCACGACCTCCACCAGTCCTACCAGCTGCTGCTACAGCCAGCATTACATAACCCTTCAGACTGTTTGGACCCCAGTCTCACGAGCTGGGTGCAGATGGGCCGAGTGAACGTAAACACAGTAAACTGTAGTCACCAGGGCAGGGTCTGAGTAAACAGGCAGTGCATGTGGTAAAAGGACAGTGACCTTCTGAGGCTGTTGTTGTTTTAATGAACTCTACAAGGCTACCTGCTGCAAATAGACATGATCAATACTTCTACACTTTTTGCCCAGCTGTATTAAGTATACAGTTGTATCTAAAACTGTGGCACAAATTCCATACAAAAAATGTATTATGTGTTACTGCTGCAACTAACAATTATTGCATAATATGTTTTTATCTGTCAATCTTTTTCTATTATTATTTGTAACACAAATAAAATCAAATTCAGACACACAATTCACAATTCACAATTGTGTGAGTAAAGGCGGAAAAAAGCTTTTTTCTCATACAAAGTGTGTTTTAAAGTAGTCCATGAATGGACTATTTTAGTTCAGTGTTTGGCGCAGGAACAGAAACTGGTAATTTACAGCTTTTTACACACATATGCAGCAGCGTGAAAGTTCACAAAAAGTAAACCTCTAACATAGGAATTCCTAAAAAGGAGTAAATCAAGAAAATTGACATTTTTATATATCAACGCTCTGCTTCCCAGTCCGCCCATTCCTTATAGGAGGTCTTTATCTTTAAACTTTCAGAGATAAAACGAGCTGGAGGCCAAAATCCACACCCCCCCCCTCCCCCGTTTGTTCAGCGTGACCCTCCATCCAGACGGGACAGAACAGTCTGCACTGTCATGGACCAGCAGCGCATCACTCGCCTCCAGTGCAGCCAAAAACCCCGAGGCCTCGACCCCATCCGCAGGCCACACTCTCCCCCAGCTGACCAATGAGCTCTCTGATGGGGGCGCTTGTTTGCTTTAACAGCGCTGCTGAACCCTCCATTCTGTCATTGACACCGTCCCCCCCGCTGCATCCACAGACGGTGACTCCATGCTTTGTCTGCTCACACCAACCATCACCCTTCTCCTCTTCCTTTCTGATGTTGAGTTTGCCCGTGTAGCCTACTGACAGACATTAATCGCTGCTGATTGGCTGCCTGTCTTCGTCTGCCGTCCACAGCTTGGCCTGTGAGAACTGGACGCAAACATCGGCTTCTTTCGTACCTTCTTTGGTGTGTTCTAGTTATACTTTTAAGGACACTTGGGCTACATCTTTCACACTTCCTAAAAAGCACAAGTCCAATTTCAGAGGTTAAGGAAAGGGATTTGTAAGCAAAAAAGTGTAAAGGTTTGATTCCAATAATTATATCAGTTTCAGCTATAGTGGTGGACGGACTGCTTTTGCCATAAATGTGTCAGCATTTTTATTTTTTTGTTTTATTTTTACTGTTTCATTTCTGATTTTATGTAGTGTATTTGAGCATTAGGAAGAGCGATATAAAAATCCAATGTATTATTATTATTATTATTATTATTATTATTATAAACACAGACTGAGGCCAGCATGTCTAAAACAGGGCTCTGAACTAGTTTGCCTGTAGCACCAAGTATATGGGAGTCCCATAGGGCCATATCACATGCTTTGATTTAACAAAACATCAGAGAGCGTTGCAGGGTTCCTTGGTGTTAGTATAACTGATCTGTATCGCGTGTGAGTTTACAAGGAATGGAAACAAAGGTATGAGGGAAGTTCACTCCATCACAGAAAAGTGTGAGTATGATGGTTTGAAAGTCTGAAGGATGAGACGTGGTCGGCATATTTTACACACACACACACACACACACACACACACACACACACACACACACACACACACACACACACACACACACACACACACACACACACACACACACACACACACAGATCAACATCTACATCCCACCCATGGACGTACGGGAAGCGAAGGCTGCAGCAGACCTCTTCTCATCTTTGCTGGAAAATAGCACGGAAACATAGAGATGATCGGAAAGGTGGGGGTAGGTTGCAGTACATCTCCACATTTGCTCTTGTGGAGACTACTCTGTGTTACCAGGAATGGGGTGCTCATAGAAAGTTAATCGCTCAGCTCATCTCTATATTTAGGATGTGTAAAATCACACGTGGAGGAATGCATTCAGCAGATGCTTCGTCCTCACAGGATCACACGCTGAGTGATAAGAATGATGGATTTGGTCGTTAAGGTCAAAGTGAAACGGACGTCAGTAGAGTGTGTTCTGCGTTGCAACCATAGATGACCAGGATGAGGAAAGATTTGGTTTAATGTTGTTAAACAGTTCTCCATGACCAAGAATGTGGGAATGTGAAGGGAGGAGTTGATTAGACTAAGTGTCTGGCCAACATGTACATACGCTGTTCACTGATGGGAGTGGACGACCACTTACTTCACAGCACAGACATTTTTTCCACCAGTCTTTCGCCTTAAAAATCCAACAAGTGGCATTCCATCACATTTCATGCAGAAAACAACTGCCTGTGTTATCATTTCATGAATGTTTCCAAACCACATTTCCAGGTGACGCTTCATTTACCAAATATAATCACACTTAGACTTGGAAAAATGGACACTCGGAGATGATAAACTTGATTTTGGGTTAAAGGCCAAAAACCAAAAGTACATTGCAGCAGCTGCTGAGATTACAAAGTGAATTTTAGGATTGAAAATGTACCTTAGGATGGATTTTAAGATGTATAACATTCATAAAAGAATGTTGCTTAAGTTTCCATTAAGCTGAGGCTCAGGAGGTAGAGTGGCTTCAACCAATCGGAGGGCCGTTGGTACGAATCCCCAGCATTTGCAGTTGTCCTTGAGCAAGATACTGAACCCAAAATTGTTCCCAATTTAGTGAGTGTGAGTAAATGTTTATCTCTCCTCGTGGGACATGTGTTGAAAAAAGTGTTTTGTGGTTAAGAAAAAGCGCTATATAAATTCAGTCCATTTACCATACCTTTTAATCATCCGCATAAATATGTCATGCCACAAATATATATTAATACATTTTACACAGATATCCTAAAAAGGTATTTAATTAATAATAAACTTTAAAAAATCTGTGTATAATCCCTCATAAAAATGCCATACTGTAATAATGAAATGTAACATTTAAGATGCCATTAAAACAAATCCGTGTCTGGAACGCCATACAAAAAAAAAGGTTTCTTAATAAAGAATGGAAAATGTAATAGTACATCGTGAACAATGAAAAGCCTTCATAAAATAATTGTTTATTATGTAGTATTTTAATAAAATGTCCCAAAAGTGTCATAAATATGACATAGTATGCATTGGTATAGTATTGGAGTACATCAACAATGTTAGTTTCAGTAGAAAGAAAGTCTCAATTTTAACTGAACCAATCTTTAGCAAATAAAAAAACAAAAAACAGATAACGTTTCCGTCCTGATCTGCCCAAAAGGTTTGTTGTTTGTAATATTTTTTCTGACTTGACCTTCTAGACACCCAGAAGTGTTCCCTCCCCCCGTTGCCACCCAAAGTTGTTTAGTGTTTGACCGTGGACTCGCTCGCTGTGAGAGACAGACAGACGGCTGGGCGGCTGCTGAGTGCTGAGAATGTAAACCAGTCTAAATGTATGGGATTAGAGAAATTCCCTCATTGCACGCTTGGTGAAAAAAACATTTAAATAAACAGACACTCCCCAGCTTCCAATATATATCATTTTTTATTGTACGGACAGAAAATTATACAATTTGAGGGTGTAAAACATTCCCTGTCTGGATAATGAGGCGGCAGAACAGGAAAGAAACGTGTAAAAGAGGAAGTGAAGCGGGGATGAAGAGCTGGATGCACAGAGGGAGACGCTGGACCAACATGCTGACACCCCACTTCTCCCGATGCCTGAGGAGAGGAACACATACCATGAGAGGTGATTCACAAGTTTAATAACTAATAAATACAAAACCAAATACACAATTAGGATTACATGTCAGAAGCAGTGACATCATGGCTGTATGCTGACATTCGTGATATTAACGTCACAAAAACAAAAATGTACATCCCAAAAAGTCATACCAGATAAAAGCATAACAAAATGAATGATGCAACTGAGAGTAATTGCCACAAAACATCAGACAACCGAGTTTATCAAAGCAGAAAAAGCTCAAGTGGAAACAATGGCTCACAAAAGTGCATGTGCATCTTTTCCTACGTGATATCTTGTGAAAAGTCTTTTGAAAAAAAGGCTATAATTATTCTTGTTGAAAAAAATAGGAATAGAACAACATTTTTGTCCCAAGTTCAACACCCTCTACATATCAGTTGAGTTTGAGATGTTCAAGAGCAATTGAGCTTCACATCAGTATAGACTAGACTAGACTAGACACACACACACACACACACACGGAGGGGAGCAGAGCTATGTGGGGGCTTACGGGCCAGAAAACAGTCATTCAAATAATATTTACTTAAATGTACTGTGACTCATCCCATGTATTTATATCAAACTTGCGACCTAATAGTACAACTTGGTCACATTCACCGCTGCTTTCTCTGGCAAACACACAGTCAGCTGACCGTGATGCCGCAGTGTTTACTGTGTCACACAGCACTTGAACCTCATTAAGAAGTGACAGAGTATGCAAGGAGGCCCTAATTTGGTCATTGACACCTCATTGGTCTCATCAACAGTGAGCTCGTACATGGGGATGCAGGCAGCAACACGTCCAACACAAACACCATCAGCCTCCAGGAGTCATTAAGCATCAGATCAGAGACGCTCTGCCCTCTGAGCGGCTGTTTGGAGACGGGTTTACATTCCTCCACCAGTGACGAGTGAAACTATGCTATGCTTAGGAACAACAGCTCACACCTGCATTGTGTTTTACTACACAACATTACTTAGAAAATGGCATGATGCGGGAGTCAATAGAAACCTGAGATCTGACGCAAAGTATTTATTTGTGACCTTAAAGGTAGGGTAGGTAAGAATGGAGAAACCAGCCCGAGTGCGCTAGAATTTGAAAGTCCGCAACCGAAAGAAATCTGCCTCTTCCTTCAGACTTCCTTACAGAGCTCCTCCTCCAACACACACGAACCAGGACCAATGAGGGCACGAGATAAGTTTGTGCTCAGATGGAAGGCTGACAGGCAGGTAGGCCATCCAGTTATTTTAGCCGGGCCGGCTCAGATGATTGGTCGTGCTTTTTACAGCGCCACGTCTTCCACAGATGACATTTTTTTAATGTATTTATTGTCAAAGCATTTCATATATTCATTGCTATCGGGATGTTAAGAGCATTCCATGGAATACAACAAAAAGAGTTTCTGAAGTGAATTACCTACCCTACCTTGAACGGGGGTTGGACAGAGCGACGGAGAAACGGTTGAATATCAGTAGACACTTCACTTTGATGAAGTTATGAATGAATAACAAGAGTTTAGGAATGCATACCGTTGCCGTGAGAGCACTCCTACTCGTCGATGTACTCGAAGGGCTCGGGGGGCTCTGGCTCCTGCTCCTCCTCCTCGATTTTGGGGCCGTGTGCGGAGACGGGCTCCACCAGCTCCTCCTCTTCCTCACTGGTGTCTTTCATGATGATGATCCCGCCTGTGTTGAGCTGTTGACAGACAGGAGGAAAGTCAGCCAATAACATCCAGCGAAAGGGTTCAGAGCCTTCATTGGCTGATGGACATTAGAAAATGTAAAGTGCACTGTATCTGTTTATACATCACTCTTCACTGCTGGAAGGGATGTTTATGGAAAAGCTGGAAAGAAGTTAAAATCAGTTCTAACCAGAACATTAATGGGGTCTAACTTCAATGAAGCTGCACACTAAATTGTTGGAGAGAAAACGTGTCATAACCGTTGGAAATTCCTCTGAGTATCTTACTCTGTTGAAACGACCAAATGGTATTTAATGATCAGGACCAGATAAACCTTCTCGAGGCTCCAGAGTAAAACGAAACACATTCATTAACCATGTGTCCCCATTTCTGTGCATTGTGTGTGTTTAGTTAGTAAAGAGTAGAACTTAATTAAGTTCTTATATATTTAGAAAGATGTACCACCACTCCAAAAAAGGATATAGTAGTAGTAGTTAGCATAAGTCAAATTCAATTACTCTGGGTCCCCATCATACAAACATATATTGTGCTTTGAGTGGTGCAGTGCACAGGGTAAAACTGAGGGTCTGGGGCTCAAAAGCAGTACGTAATCTTGCCTTGATAAAGACCCTATGAATGCATTTGAAATTGAGGTCAAGAAAAGCTATGACGCAGTTCTACAATATTTATTTGAAACAAACTGGTAGAACGAGAGAAACAGGATGCGGACCACGTTGTTTTGGTTTAGAAACTCAAAAGTGAAGTTTATTTAATCAATTTGTGGAATCATCCAGCTCCCATGAACAATCAAAGACAGGGAACTTGTTACCACGCAAGTTGATTCACAAAATAAGGTTTCATCTCTCTGGTTCTCTGTCTAGTAGTCTCCTAGCACTAGCTTCTTCTCTGTTCGCATTCTACGTCCGAACTGTCGGATTAGAACTTCAATTTTCATGACGTATTTACGGTCTAAAGTTAAAGTCGTCTAGTTTATATACCTATACAAACTAATAATTAATAACTACGGTAATTTCAACACTTTCGACACATTTCCACGTCGAAATTACTGAAACATAATGACGGTCCCCCAGATCACTTACCTAATGAGGTCACCTTGATTTCCCGAGACGTAATTCAAACAACAATCTAATATAAAGTGTAGTAATTAGGTTTTAGACATTCTTCGATTTCCATAATTTTATCAAAATCACCTTCAATTTCATGCTGGTAATTGGATGCCATTTAACATCTCCTTATCTCCCATGTTTAAAATTTTTTGAGCCCTCACGTTGGAGTTTTGCGATGAATTCATCGGATGTCACGAATTCGATTTAAGAAGCGAATGAAGGTGGTGACTAGAAAACCGGGAAAATCCGCGTACATAGAACCCCCCCGCGACGCGAACGTCCGAGACCCTCCCCTTTTTGGAACACCCTGACACGGAGGCGAGACGGGCGAGTAAGGAGTAAAGTCCGGAACTAATATGTTGCATAAGTATTAATTCAGTTAGCATTGGTAGAAAAAGTTGGGGCAATTGTGAAAAGTAAACGGGATCTGCCTACCCTCGCGGACGATTCGACCTACTTTTCACCCGCCACAACCGGGGGTGAAAAGTAGTCGAATGTCGGTTGTGACACCGAATAGTCCGCAAGGGCACGGTTGTGGGGGTGAAAGTAGTAGGAATGTCGCCGGTCAGCCGGACTATTCGGTTGTGAACGACCGAATATCCCGCAGCTGTCGAGTGTCGCTTTCACCCCGGGCGGCACCCCTAGCTACGCTGCTCTCGTATTTACGTTAAATACTTTTGTTTATAAAGGTTACGTGTGGAAATATTAATAACGCTATTTGTCCAAAACGTTTATGTAAAGTTACTTAGTGATATTCGCCTGTCATTTGGTTTTTTTAGCGAAATTTTGACCTCTACTATTTTTTTAATAAAGTATTTATTTGGTACATTGATATCCATTTTATTCACCTACGTTGTTGTTTTTATTTTATTCAATTGTAAATAAACGAATAACCGAAATACGCGATCCCAACAAATACAAGTGTATGAATAAACAATAAGTTTACCATTTGTCTAGAAAAAGTATAACCGCACAAATCTCAACATGGGGACCTGAGCATTAGTTATCATTAACACACGAATTTCACTGGTCTAAACTTCGTAAAATGAAAATTCATACCAAGTTTGTAAAGAAAGGACCCCCGGTATGAGACTAGGGGGGAATCTTCTACGGGCTGCAGGTTGTGGGGTTAATTTTGTACAAATAATGTTATGACTTATGTACAACCTTCGGAACAAATACCATAATATGCAAGAAACAAACTCCCATAACCAGAGAAACGAATGCTCGTAAAAAAAGTAAATAATTAATAATATAAGACAACACATAAAGGAAACTATTGAAAATAGATAAGATGACATGTTAAAAGACCCGTCCCCCCCCCCCCCAAAACCAGCGGGTCGATTTTAGAACGGAGCCCGTCGCGTTTTAACCAATCTTGGCCCGGGAACGGAGCAAGAGTAGACGACACGTCCCCCGCGGCGAGTGTCTTGTCCGACGTAAAGAGAGTGAGAGAGAGAGTTAAGTTAAGTTGATCGAACTAAACGTACTGGTATACACATGTATTTAGTCCCCGAAATGTAACCAGATTCGGGACCTGTAATCGGCTGCTACGAGACCTACAGTAGTAGTGGGAGCGTGTAAAGAGTACTACCAAACAGTATTTGAGCTCATATACCATTTTGAAAAGAGCGAAGAATAATTACTTACGTAAATAATAAATCCGGGGGGGGTTATAAACGAACTGATATGAAATTTTATCGTCTCGAGACGACTGGCCCTATAATCAAAAAAAAAGCCGGAATTCTTGCACAACGGTTAAATTGGGGACGGTATGTCATAAACGGTCCTTCGCAGCACGCATACTCAACGTTGTAGATATGTGTTTATGTATGTGTTTGTTTGACGATCTTAACTTGTCGTTGTTGTACAAAAATAAAAAAAAAAAAATGTTCCCTTATGTCTAAGTAAACAATTAAGTATATAATGTAACGTCTGAGAGAGAGCGGAGAGAGAGAGAGAGAGATAGAAGAAAGAATGAGAGAGAGAGAGAGCAGAGAAGAGAGAGAGAGAAAGATGTATGATTATCTATTAATAGGGAAATATACGGACAATAGATGCGGATAAAAATTCAATGACCATATGTTACAAAAAATGTTAATTAGTAGTTATATTGTGCTACTGCATGACATCTCACCGTGGAAATCTGCCCGCTGATTAGTGAAGCAAGATTAGAGTAGGATGTGTAGCAAATTAGTGTGAGTTTATTACTGAAACCCCTGAGTAGGACCGACTGTTAATTTCTATAATTTTAACCGCAAAAAAAATTAAAGCAGAACTTTGCACAGGGGTATGTTAATTCAAAACCGTAATTTTGTTTTCATGTTTAAGAAATAAATGAAAAGTTAGAATTCCTTTTTCACTAAACGGATTTTACGTTTAATTCACAATTATTTTATGTTTTCGTCTCCCCGGAGGACACTTGAGACTTGTAGAACCCGACCGGGTTACCACGAACCGAAGATACGACTCGGTGCAGGAAAGGATTACAGTACACACACTGGAGATGTCTACAGGTCGCCACCGTCCAAAACGGTAAAACACCCGTTAAACCAGGTATTCAGTGGTGGATGGCGCCCAGACTCCTAAGTGGTCCCTTCTGCCCTACGCTCTACCTGGTCGATAATGAAATACGGCCCCGGCCGATTTTACTGCAACCACGCACGGAACAAATGTCGCGGTGCCGAAGGATGTCTACTGTAAAAAAATACAATAAAAACCAGTTTCGGTACAATTAATATAAGTTAACCGGATAGACCTACGAATTTCTCGTAAGGTGAACGTTAATAATTGTTTCACGAAAGACTTTATTTGTAAATTGTATGGGGTAGAAATCACGTAAAGTTACGTTCATGAGCATGAATTCAATTTGTACATCAAATGAAAATGTAATTTGAACTATAAAAAGTAAAAATACCGATGAACTGTGAAAATAGGTGAATCGAATCCGGTCCAAAAATGAAAAATGAGGTGATGTAAAAAAAATGTCCATAAATCAATGATTATAATGGTACGTCTAACTCCAATAATTCATGTTGTACGGAATTTCTGTTTGTCTGTAACAATTATAGCAACTAAAGTATCCATTCGATGGGATGAGCATCATCACCAGTTTTCATTCAAGTAATGTGGAAAATTTAGATGCGCCGTGTTTAGTTAAGTTGTTATAAGTTGTACGTGAAATTACTTTCACCATTGTAAGCGATTTTCGTAGGGTCTCCCGCTTAAAAGGGAAAAATTTTATTTAACCTTTATTTAAAGTCCTAGGTCCGGACAGTCAACTAAAAACCGGAGCTGTGTAGGGGTGGGGGGGACAGAGAGTGAGAAATATTTGGCCCTCCGAACGGCCAGGACGAATTTACACTGTCGAAAAGGCGGTCATTTGCGGGTCCCCCTACCGCACCGCGCCAGCCCGGGTTATTCGAGAGAGGAAAGCGAGGGAGTGTTTGAAGTTTAACGGATCCCAGAACGTAGCTTACGGTTTTTACCGGACAGAATCGACGCAGATTTCAAAAAACATTACGACGACAGGAAATTCCGCAAACAAAAATGTAAGTGTCTCGCTAAATCCTTTCACTTCTCGCAAAAATGTCTCAAGTAGAAGTTAAGACGCAGTTACATGGCCCCCCCCCCCNNTGTGTATGTGTGTGTGTGTGTGTGTGTGTGTGTGTGTGACAAGAGCTATAGTCAGAGCTCTGCTGCCTTCATGCTGTTGTATGATTGGTGTTTAGCGTCCACAGCACCTCCGCTTTTAGGGTTGACGTAGACCCAAACGTCGCCCGGAGGTCCCCCGGTGTTGTTGCGGGAGCTGCTGGACTAGCTAACGCTGCATTAGCAAGACAAACGCTAACTTTGTTTGCAAAAGGTGCAGCGGGCTCCGAACACATTCCCCTCCACTGGTTTCAACCAAGCACTAAATTACATGTTTTCCAACCAAATACTGGTTACTTTGCAGCCCGGACATTTCCCCCAAAACACATTTAGACGCGATCGCAACACAGAAGTACCTTTCAAATCCCATCATTTTTAAGACCTTCTAAATCATATTTAAGACCTTTCTTATTTTTTTGGTCATATTTACGACTTTTTTAAGGCCTTAAATTCAGATTATCAAATATAAGACTTTTTAAGACCCTGTTAAAGAGCTATTGGCAAGACTTTCTACTATGGCCTCATGAATACATTTACATGGAGACAGACCCACATTCAGACAGACAGACAGACAGACAGACCCACATTCAGACAGACAGACAGACAGACATTCAGACAGACAGACCCACATTCAGACAGACAGACAGACAGACAGACAGACAGACCCACATTCAGACAGACAGACCCACATTCAGACAGACAGACAGACCCACATTCAGACAGACAGACACACATTCAGACCCACATTCAGACAGACAGACCCACATTCAGACAGACAGACAGACAGACCCACATTCAGACCCACATTCAGACAGACAGACCCACATTCAGACACACATTCAGACAGACAGACCCACATTCAGACAGACAGACAGACAGACAGACCCACAGACAGACAGACAGACAGACAGACAGACAGACAGACCCACATTCAGACAGACAGACAGACAGACCCACATTCAGACAGACAGACAGACCCACATTCAGACAGACAGACAGCCACATTCAGACAGACAGACACACATTCAGACCCACAGACAGACAGACAGACCCACATTGAGACAGACAGACGGACAGATAGTTACCGGTTTGAAGGGCTGGTAGCGGCAGGTCTCGGGCATGATGAGCACTTTGAGCTGGGCCGGCATCACTCTGGCCGGGTTCTCCAGGAACTGGAAGTTTGGCTCTGCCTCTTTCTTCTTCTCTTTCTCCTTTTCTTTCTCCTTTTCTTCATCCTTCTTCTCCTTTTCTTTCTCTTTCTCCTTCTCCTTCTCTTTTTCCTTCTCCTTTTCTTTTTCCTTTTCTTTTTCCTTCTCCTTCTCTGCCTCCTGGACCTCCTGTTACAGAAAAAGAAGCATGTCCTCCATTAGGCCTAATGTGATTACCTTTCATAATGTCCTGTAACTTAAGGATGTTCTTAAAAACAATCTGTACGGCTGTGTCATTGCTGAATTTATTTAAAACATACATTTAATTCAGATAGTGCTAAATTAAAAGTTGAAAACCCACCACAATCAGAATCAGTATTTCTAGTTGAATTAAGACATTACAAGACAGTTTGGAGGATATCGATGTTTCTTTGTTACTACTCTGGCACCATGGGCAGTGGTTTGTCGGGCTATCAGGCCGATACACGGGAGGATTCATTACAAATACATGGAAGGACAGAAGGTGCCATTGGAGCTAGCAACAAAAGTCCGTCATCTCCTGCAGATGTTCTGAAACACTTCGGCTGTCTTCTCTGCTCTAGCCCGGTTTCAGGTGTGATTTACAGACGCACTTAAATACTTTACTGATGAAATCACTGTTTCAAATAGCCTTTTAATATCACTATCGTCTGTATTTATCGTTACTAGGTTTACTTTTTCTTGCCATTTCTATCTCAATCATTCTACCCAACATATTTGAGTGTTGATATATTTAGAGTAGAAATAAAAAGATACCACAGTGAAGCTCTTAACATGAAAATAGATGAGCTAAGCATAAATAAATCTCCCAAACTTAAGTCCGCTCTATAAAACGGTCCAGAAAATGAACCGTCTGACCCCAGTGAGAGTCGATACCCCCTCCTTCTACCGCCTTCTCAAAGAGTCAAGCCAAATGAAATCAAAAATCTGAGATGTGAGCGGGCCAGACATTTCTAAGCTCGTCTTTCAGCAGCAGAGCTGAGACGTAGCGTGGCCGAGCGGATCAAACGTGCTGCTGACGCCCAGAGAAACCCAGTGAGAGTTACACTGACTCACGGAGTTGGGAAAAGAAATAAAAAGGTAGCGTGTTTGGTGTCAAAGAGCACAAGAGACTGTTTAACTGACAGCATGGATCCGATTCCCCATTTAATATCTGCTTATTTATGATTGTATCCTCTTATCAGCAGGTGAGTGATGTCTCATTAAACAACACAACCAGGACACATGCTGAAGCTGCATTGCCTTGTGGGATACTTTAAAAAAAAAAAGGGGAGCATGACCCAAGACCACCCCTGAAGGACTGAAGTCCACCAAGAATTGTCTCACAAAATCTTGCTCTAAACACAATCTGTTATAGGGTACTCCCTGCGTTCAAAGCAGTCTTGGAGTCAAACACGGTAAAACATAATTGAAAACTTTACTTCAGATAAACGGAAAGGTTCTAAATACCCTGAATGTGTTTAAACTAAATAGTACATTTGTTTTAGTTTATGCAGACAGACCACCTACAAAATGGGATAATTCAGGGTAGATCTCTCTGTTCCAGTAAATTAAACTCACTACTCCAAACAAATCTTTCTGAATAAATAAACCCAATAAAATAAATGGCTTGGCAAAGGAGATGTGTTGTTGTGAGTTTAGACTGCTTTTCAAATGAAGGGTCGAAAAACAAATAAGATAAGATGATTGGCAATGAGGGGAGAAAGGGTGTTTTGGACAGCTGGGCCTTTCCACTCACCACCTCCATCTTCTCCTCCTCCTTCTCCTTCTTCTCCTTCTCCTTCTTCTTGGCTTTGGCGGTGATGGAGAGAACAGCCGTGGAGACCTGCCGTGCAGAGGGGGAGAGAATACAGACAATGTAAGACAAAACCATCGACTATCAGACCACCTACTAACACGACTTACAGTGAACAGAACAAGTCGACCACAAAATAAAAGCAGAGGGAAACGAGCAACCAAGAAACATATGCTGGAGACGCTGAAATAATCAATATGCCAGGCAGAACAAGTATATATCTGACAGCGTGGGTTAAAAACCTATTTACAAATGAATATGAAACTACGTCTGCCTTCTTTGACTGATAATATCAGAAAAAGAAAATCAAAACAAGCCGATGTGTTAAGTTGCCATGTTCTCACCTTCTCCTTCTCCTTCTCCTTGGGAACCTCCAGAGCTGGGGGGTAGGCGAAGGTGGAGGGCTTACAGTTAGAGCGATACTGCACCTTGGGCATCTGAACAGGAAGACAGGAAGAGAGAAGATGTTTAGTGACTTTATGCCATTATCTACCCGTCGGATCCACTTCCAAGGAAACAAACCTGTAACATCCTCCAGAAAGTCAAACGAAGCAACTTCAGACGACACAGCGGTTTAGGAAGTCACCGCACATTTCCACGTCAAATTTCAAGTGCTAAGCTATACGTTTATTAATTTGAGGCTTTCTTGCCAACCTATCCTTTAAAAAGGAGGTAATGACGGATGATCAGAGACAATAATAATGAAGTCAGCCAGTTCTGAGGTCAGTTCTGAGGTCTCTTGAACCTAATAACAACTTTCATAAATGCTGTTTTCAGAGGAGAGCTTGAGTACCGCCCCCTCTCTGAGCTAACATTTATTCCAATTCAATCACAACCTCATCGTCTCAAGTGTCATAAATACAAAACCAATATGGTTTCTAACTGGCACCCGGTTTGATTTTAGAAATAAAAAAATAGTTACCAGCAAAGCAGTTTAAAACCCTTCACATTCACTCGATTCACTTCACCATCACTTATTAGCTGCAGACTTGATCCTTAAGTACACATTAAAAAGTGCTCCGTCACCTTTACCTGGACAAACATCAAAGAAGATCTCCTGCCAGAGCAGCACCAGGTGCCTTCTGTTTAGCGTGGGGGGGGGGGACACCTGTTTTTGTTAACACCACATATTTCAGACTGCAGTATGGAGGCATGAATTGAAACCGTGAGGCTGGTAAGTGGCTTCTCCTGCGCGCTCTTTGAAGCCAACCTTCAGTTTGTTTCTTAAAGAAGAGGAAGTAATTTGTCCAATGGTCTGTGAAGACTCGTGCTGTGTAGTTAAACAGGTGCTGACGAGCCTTGGCAGGGTGCAGCACCAAGTCTGTTAAACACTGCTGCTGCCCCCCCCCCCCTTTCCCCTCTGCTCTCCATCCCTGGTGGGTTATTTGGGGCTTTACACCAACGTTATGCTCCCGTGTATACACAAGGTGTGTGTGTGTGTGTGTGTGTGTGTGTGTGTGTGTGTGTGTGTGTGTGTGTGTGTGTGTGTGTGTGTGTGTGTGTGTGTGTGTGTGTGTGTGTGTGTGTGCTGT